CCCAGACTATATACCAGGAACTTCTGCCTGCTAGTAGGATGGTAAGGAGACAAGTGGACATGTGAGTGCTAGGGGACAGTCCTTAGAAAGCGTGGAGTAGGTGCATCATTTGATGCATTTATGCCAAGCTCAGGGTGCTGCCTGCATAGTATGCCCTTAGTTGGACAGCCTGCATGATTGGCAGACAGCCTGACATGCATTCATGCCAGGCTGGCCTTCCAATTCTTTGGACAAACATGCTCCCTTTTTGGCATGATCACCCGTTTTGGCAGGTCTGGTCACGTGATTCGCGCCAGTGGCACACCCTTTTTCCCTGCCCATTGACTTCCTGCTTCACTGGACACTGCTGTTAGGGGTTATGGATTTACTTGAAAGATGAAAGCATACATTAGAGAGAGATTAAATAGTGTATGTGTTTTCGTATAGCTGCATCCTTTGAGTTTCCCTCCAACACCATCTCCATCAGATACATGCCGCTTGGGAGGTATGGTTGTTTTAGTGTTTTTGGTCGATAATATTCTGTAATTAGGCCCATCATAATTATCAGCTCCAGGCCCACTGGGCTCTTAATCTGGCCCTGGTCTGGCAGTGTGTAAATATGTATGTCTGGCAGTATGTAACTGTTTGTGTCTGGCAATGTGTAAATGGTTATGACTGAAAGCATGTAACTTTGTGTTTATGATAATACATCTACATATTCAGGGGCGGACTGACCGGTCGGGCACTTCGGACATGGTCCGAGGGCCCGGCCGGCAAGGGGGCCCGCCGCTGCCGTGCACATAACATAATGTGCACGGACTTCAAAAATCATTTTGTAGGCGATCGGGGGGCGGGCTTGGCGCAGCATACTTACCTCTATAGGAGGAGGAGGGGCCCGGTCCTGTGCGCGGAGGTGCGTCGACGTCACTACGTGACGCGATGACGTCGACGGGCGCCGCCTGCACGGGACCGGAAGCCATGCTGTCCCGAATAACTTGAATCCCTGCAGGTCTTCAGATCCCAGCAGCCAGCCAAGCAAGGTCGGCAAGGCGCCCAGGCCCCCAGCAGCCAGCCAGCCAGCCAGCCAGCCAGCCAGAGGCCCAGGCCCCAGGCCCCCCAGCAGCCAGCCAGAGGCCCAGGCCCCCCAGCAGCCAGCCAGAGGCCCAGGCCCCC